CATTCTGAGGTCGACTGGTGGAGAGAGATTGGCAGTCAAGTTCGGCAGTGTCGCGGATAAGTTCAATTTCTTTTTGGATTTGAGGGGTTATCTTGATGCAGTTAGCAGGGTGGGTTATAACCCGGTGGGAGGAGGTAGCATACGCATGGAGTCTGCCCGTAAGGGAATGCAGTGAGCGTACCGTCCTCTCGCTGCAGAAGACAATTTCCTGTCGTATTCTGCTCGATCAAGTCGGCTCCTGCCCGTTTTGCCAGCTCATACATCATGCTCTGGTTGGTATCGTTGATCCAGGCAGCGCCGAGATCGACCACCCCGGTGCCACTGGGCAAGGGACAAGACCAGGTCTTGCCGCCCACGCGGTCGCGGCCTTCGAGCACGATGCACGAGTGACCAGACTGGAGGATGGTTTCGGCAGCCATGAGGCCGGACAGGCCGGCGCCAATGATAAGCACATCGGTCGTTTCTGTGGGAGAGGGAAGAGAAAGCGAAGTTGGGACAGAGTCCGGCACCGCAACGGTAGCCTCAATCTCGAATTTCCAGCCCGGGACAGCTAGCTGGGGTACTGGAACAAGAGTAATGGCCGGTTTGTGGCCAGTTAGCCATGTCTGCAGAGGTCGGGTGTGAAGACGGTTGTTGGGGTCGTAGTCGACGATGTAAAGGGTGAGTTTGACTACATCGCGAGGGGTAGCGCCGGTGGCGGCTAGCACACGGTGTAGATTCACGAGGGCAAGATGGATCTGCGAATTGTAATCGGCAGGGGCAGTGCCTTCAATGGTGCCTGGTTGGCCCGAGACATGGAGATATTTGGAGGCGGATGACACCACGCCAGGGGCGTAGTAGGCGGAGGTGGCTAGGACGGGTGCTGGAGCCATTGTCAGTAGATTGGAGCTGGTAACCGGTGTTTCTATGTGGTAAAGAGGTGGGATAGATATAGGGCAAAGACAAAGTCCGAAGAATGAAGCTGGTTATCTTATCGTGCGGGGAAGTCTTGACTTGCCTGTTTGGAGTGGGCCGGGGTGACTTGCCTGCATTAATTCCACTCCACCGCCAGTTGAGGGAAGCTCTATCTTATCGTAGATCGACATACTGCAAGATGGATATTCAATCCGAGGAGCTGCCTTCTCGGTAGCTTGAGCCATTGAGTAGACAATTCGGGAAATTATATATACCAGTCGTAGATCTAGTCCGTATTGCCAATCACCACCTTGCAGTGTACATACATTAAAATGGCCAACCGTCCCAAAGATCACGACTCCAAAGTCCTCACCATCGCCGATCTGGCCATTGAGGCCCAGAAACGGCTTCCTCCGGTCGTGCGCGGTGAGCAATCCGCACGATCTCTGCAACCCAGTCAATACTAAGACATGCATATAGACTACTTCAACGAAGGCGCCGGCGACCTCATCACGTACTACTTCCCACAACTCACCCCACCCCCTATATATACTAACAGATCACAGCCTAAAAGACAACGAAGCAGCCTACAACCGATACAAACTACTCCCTCGCGTCCTCCGCGACGTGGACGCCCTCGACACTAGCACCACCATCTTCGGCAAGAAAGTGAAATTCCCCCTCGGCTTTGCCCCGGCTGCCGCGCACAAACTCGCCCATGCAGATGGCGAAGTGGGTACGTCCCGCGCAGCTGCAGCGCACGATATTCCCATGTGTTTGTCCTCGTGGGCAACAACAGGCATCGATGATGTGATTGCCCAGGGGACGGGGAATCCGTATGCAATGCAGGTGTCCTTTTTCAGGGACGTAGAGATCACGAGACGGATCATTCAGAAGGCAGAAAGTGAGTGTCCAGTTGAGCATTATAACGTTTGTGGTAACTGATGAAAGTAAAGAGGCCGGATACAAAGCACTATTCGTGAGCGTGGATCTCCCTGTACTAGGGAACAGATTGAACGAGTCTCGGAATAACTTCAACTTTCCGAGTGATATGCGGTTTCCAGTACTGGCAGAGGGAATTGAAGAGTTGGGGCTGAAGGACACGTATGAGCGTGGCTACGGTATGCACTTCAGATCCTTCTGCTTATCGGCTATTAACAGAAAGCCAGATGGTTCTATTCGCTGGGACAAGACGATTGCCTGGCTACGACAAAACACGAAGCTCGAAATCTGGCTCAAGGGTGGTACGTCCATCCTCACTCCTGCGGTTACTATGTATAGACTAACGTGAACAGTCTACTCCCCCGAAGACATACAACTAGCCATCGACCACAAAGTCGACGGCGTCGTCATCTCCAACCACGGCGGTCGCCAACTCGACGGTGTGCCCGCTACCCTGGACGCACTGCGCATCTGCGCGCCCGTAGCAAAAGGGAAGATCCCTCTAGCAGTGGACGGTGGCATTCGACGGGGAGCAGACGTGTTCAAGGCGATTGCGCTGGGCGCGTCGATGTGTTTTGTGGGGAGGATTCCGATCTGGGGATTAGCGGTAAGCTTCACACAGAGTACCATATTTGTTCAGGAGATTGACAGTCGGTATAGTATAATGGCGAGAAAGGCATCGATTTAGCGGTCAAGATCCTCTACGATGAGTTCTGTCGCACAATGAAGCTGGCAGGGTAAGTGACCACGTCAACGTGCATATTGCAGATACTGATGGAAGTGCATGTATGCAGGTGTCGAACTATAGCAGATATCACGCCGCAGCATCTGGCGGTATTAGAGACAAATGGGCTATTGGCGAAGCTATAATTAATATGATAGAACAAGTCTGAACATACATACCATTTACATACATAACGAACAGCCTCATGAAGACTACAATAAACATAACATGGATCTAGTACATAGTGACCATCGAACTACTCCCACAACTTCCTCCAGAACCCCTTCTTCTCCACTCTATCCCCATCATCAACCCCTAATGCCTCCACCTCCTCCAACCCACTCAAAAAATCCACCTGCTCCGCAGGAATCCACCACCCATCCTTCCAGCTCATCACCCGATGCCCAGCATAAACCCCCACAAAGACAAACAACCCCACGTACGAAGTCAAAAACGACGACACACTCCAATGACCATGAAAGAAGACCTCGAACCCATTACATAGCAACAGTATCGGACAAGCCATTGTGGCAATAATCCCCATCCACGGCTGCAATTTCGACCGATACGGAAGATCCTTCAAACCCTGGGCGTTACACGCCGCCCGGAACCTGAGGAAAATAATCCCGCAGCACGTCCACGAGGTAAACCCCGCCGTGTTGGTGATATTCACGAACCAATTGAACGCGGTGCTGGCGCCGGAACTACAGTCCATGTATGCCAGTAACGAGAACAGCGAACTGCACAGTACAGCGTAGTAGGGCACGCCGTAGCGGGTACAGCGGGTGAAGATCTTGGGGGCGCTGCCAGCCCTCGCGAGGGAATAGAGTGTTCGACTGGACATGTAGAGGTACGAATTCGCGGAGGACCACGCGGAAGTGATGATGACGGCATTGACGACGGAATCGAGGCCGTGGATACCGGCGCGTTTGATAGCGATGACCCAGGGGGAGGCGGCGACGCTGGTACCCTTTGTCAATCCGGAGGCATTACTAGGGCAGATGACGCCGATGGCGAGAACGCCAAGAATGTAGAAGATGATGAGGCGGTAGAAATACTGTTTCGCAGCGCGGGGGAGGTTCTTGCGAGGGTTTTGCATTTCACCAGCGGCGACGACGAGGAGTTCCGGGGCGAAGTTGAAGGAGAAGACGGAGTAGCAGAGGGTGTAGAGGAAGGCGCAGAAGCGGCCGGTGGAGCCGGAGACGAGATAAGTATTGAAGGCGCCGGGGGTCTTCCAGTAGTGGAAGCCTAGACGGGTATGGTTGGGCCCGCCGCCGAGGAAGAGGACGAAGGAGAGGATGAGGAGGCCGATGATGAGGAAGACTTTCAGGGATGCGAACCAGAATTCGGTTTCGCCGTAGACTTTGACAGGAAAGAAGTTGAGTGCGAGGACGACGATGAGCATGAGGGTGATCCAGACGGCAAGGGGGACTGGATTGGACCAGTAGTCGATTACTAGGGCAGCGGCGGTGGTTTCGTAGGCGACGAGGATGCCGAAGCTGTACCAGTAGAGGAGGCCCATGGCGAAGCCTAAGCTGGGGGAGACGAAGCGGGTGCCGTAGGCAGCCATTGAGCAGCCGCTGAAGGGGAGGTAGGTGTTTATTTCGTTGGTGGCAGTGATGATGGCGTAGACGATGATACAGATGGTGATGTAGGCAAGGAGGATGTTGGCTGGGCCGGCCAGCGCGAGCACTTCTCCTACTCCCACGAAGAGACCTGTACCTATGGTGCCGCCGATGGCCATCATCTGGGCATGGCGGGATTTGATGCCGCGCTGGGTGACGGGGGCAGCATCATGGGGGAGAATCTGGCCTTCAGCATATGAGGCAGTGCGGTCAAGGACCTCGAGTGATTTTTCGTCGGGAGACTTGGTCATAATTGCTACAGTAGATTGGAATATGAATTGAATGGATTAAGATTAGGGAAATTGCAGCTAGGTACAGAGGGTATACAGGGCATTTATCAGTTCGCAGGACACTGCATATACAGAATCTGGGGTTACGTGGGAACTGGGCTTTGCCTCCGCAGATCCCGATACCAGATAAAGAGTGAGAGATACGAAGCCATTAGTGTCACTGTGGCTTGAGCACCGACATTGGATAAGCGAATGTCAGCTGCATCATTGCGGAGAAGCAGCGGGTTGTATCTATCGGGCCTTGCTGGTTCGCCTCTAGTTCAGTTTCGAGCCAGATCCACAGTCGGGGCTAGCCCGAGGTTATCAGTTGGCTAGCAAGGCAAGTCTCCCCTGCTGCGTGTCTCTTGACCTGCCTATTGCATCCACCCTTGCATACCCTAACTCTCGACGCCAAACCAGTCGGGCAATTGTCGACTAAATCACAAGACACCGTGGGATAAAAAGTCAAAAGTGCAGGTAGAAATATAAGTGATGACATACACAAATATTCCACACTGCAACGCCAACGTGGACTCGATTCATATCCTTTCGTACGTGGAAAAGTCCAACACAGCACCATGTCCTCAACCACAACCACCATCGTAGCGAAGAAGGAAGACCCTTCACAGGCCACAGAGTCAAACACCACTGGAAAATCAGCCATCCAGGCCATCTCACAAGGAGCCACCCTACCAGGCATCCCTTCCTTTACCTCCGCGGACAAAAAGCGAAGATGGATGCTCGAGCACATGGCTGGTGCCTTCAGAGTATTCGCTCGCAAGGGTTTCTCCGAAGGAATGAGCGGGCACATCTCCTTGCGTGATCCAGAACATTCAGACTGCTTCTGGACGAATCCGTATGACCTCTCACCAACAAGACCGGTCCAGGTACATCAGCTAACAATCCCAGACTCGGGCTCCATTTCGGTTTAGTCAAGGTTTCCGATCTCATCCTACTAAATCATGCCGGCGAACCAGTCGGAGGCAATCGATCGCGGCCAGCCAATGCCGCGGGCTTCCAGATCCACGGCGTCCTGCACAAGATGTATCCGCATGTGAACGCGGCGTGCCATGCGCACTCGAAGTACGGTAAAGCGTGGTCGACGTTCGCCAAGCCTTTGGATATGATCAACCAGGACGTTACTATGTTTTATGGTGATGCGCAGGCTGTATACCCCGAGTTCGGGGGCGTCGTGCTAGAGAAAGAGGAGAGTCTGCGGCTGGGTAGACACTTGGGTGACAAAGGGAAGTTGCTGATACTGCGCAACCATGGCCTTCTTACGGTCGGACAGACGGTGGATGAAGCGGCTTATCTGTTCACTCTGGCTGAGAGGAGCTGCGAAATTCAACTGCAGGTGGATGCGGCTGCTGCTCAGGGTTTGGAGAAGAAGCTTATTGAGCCAGAAGCGGCTGAGTTTACGTTCAAGATGACTAGTGACCCGGTAAGTTACACCAACTCCTTGGAATTGAAAGGTATAGCTAATGGAAGCAGGAGGCGTTGTATCATGAGTTCCAGCCGGATTATGAGATGGAGCGGGCGCTGTGCAACGATGAGTTTCTACAGTGAGTATGGGTGCATGTGGTTGAATATGACTGTACGATGTTTCAAACATGATGATTATGAGAAGATGAGGTTTCATGAATATGTCGTCATATGTAGAACAAACTCAGGTTGTTTTCCCGCATAATCTGCGGCCAACTGGCGCTAGCATTGCTGTTCAGGTGCTGTCGTTGTCTCTCCCAGACCTGCCTTGCTATTCTCAACGCCAACTTAAAAGTCCCAAGCCCACTTTTTCTGGCCGATGTCTCGAACCAGCCCGCAAACCAGTCTTGCAGTGTAGGATCCAAAGCCTCACAGGCGGCAATAAACGCTACCCAGATGAAAGGAGCAGCTACACGAGTCGCCGGCATATCGTCTCTTGCTACCTGAGCTAGGGCGTCTCGCACTTGCCACGCTTTATCTTGGAGGATCATCGGATCCACATCGTAGATCCGCCGATAAAAGAAGATAATGAGGGCTTTGTGAATTGCAGAAATCATCAGGCGAACAATCGTGGCATTGGTCTGGGCGATGATACTGTCTGGATCCGCATCTGACACTGACGGTGGTCGCCAGGTGGAAATGCATCGTTCTAGGCTCCGCGCCCGCGCGGAGAACTGCTTAAAGTCCAACGCCCCCGTATAGCTTCCCAAGTCCGAGAGGTCTCGCTCATTGCCTAGTCGCGTTACTTGTGATATTAGAAATAGTAGAGACTCGGGAAGGCCAAAGACATGTGGGTACATGGTCGAGTCCCACTGGCCCGGGATCTCCAAGTGCAAATCATTTTCTCCCTGATGCTGCTCCTTCAACTCGCTCATCCGCTGGTCCAATCGACCTTCCCATTGCCGAAGACGGAACGAGCGAGTTGAAGCGATGGAGCGCACGGTATCGGGGGATGCATAGTCGGACTCTATCTCTACGTTGGACACAGGGAGAACGGAAGTGCTCTCCTGGAAGATACGTAGATAGACATAGCAATGGTGCAACAAGCGGACCTTGCGTGATTTCCGCGTTTTAGGCAAGCCACGAAAACGAACCCAGTTTTCGCAGTCTAACAGACATCGGCGTACCCGCTCTGTGCTCCCTTGGTAGGCCTATGTGTATGGTGAGACATGTACTTGTGCTCAGCTGCGGCTGGCGTTGCTTACCGAAACCGTGCCCATGCACAGCAAGGCGATGAGAACGTCTTTGTACTTGACTTTTTTGACGCTTGATGACGCATCGTGTAATGCTCGCTTGAGGTAATTCTGAGCTTCGATAGCAAAGGTCTCTGCCTGTCTCTGCCAATATTCGCTTGCGCTGCGCGTCAAGGAAGATAGACGCTGGGTGAAGGCCGCAGTGGCGAGAATTGCGTAGAAGATGGACATCCGGGTGTTGTTGGCCAGTTCGCCCATGGTCAACAACGCCAGACTCTCCATAGCTGGAGGTATGTAGAGCATACTCCAGGGGCTCTTTTCCAGCTGGATCGGGGTGAACAGTTGAGTTACATTCTTTGTGTATGCAGACAGCAATAGGGGGGCATCTGGCGGGGCCAGGTTGGTCACAGATGGAGCATATCGGATCTCCGGCGACGACAATAACGATGCTTGCAGAGGAACCGATGGCGATGGTCCCATTAGGAAGCCTCCCGACAGAGATTGCGGGGAAATCCCGTCATTTTCCGCTGAAGGCAGGGTTGTGGCAAAGAAGTCTTGAGCATCTATGTCGGCAGAAACGTCTACATTCACATGGCCAAACAGACACTCCATGAGGGGATCATTGCTGAAGGCATCATCCAAGGACATGTCCAGCCCAACATTGACCGGACTGTCTTCCACCCGCGGGAGGGGCTCATCAACTGGGTTAATTGGGGCTTCGGGAAGGTCCATCTCAACTTGAACTACCCGAAAGGCACCAAAGGGACCCATACGGGTATTGAAATTGGTATTAGCCTCTTCCTCCTGGCTCTCGCATTGACCATCAATCTTGGTCAGAATGGTGTGAACGTCATCCAAGTCCAAGCTGTCGGTCAACTGCTCACTCATACGCTGACGCATGTCCTCGGTGAAGAGGGGACGGCGACATCGTGAGCTCTGGTTGTCGCTCGCATCAAACAACAGCCGAATCTCGTACCTTTCACAGACCAGCCCCGCACGCTCACACACCAGGCAAGATGGCCTGGTCTCATCACACTTTGCATGGCGCCGACGACAGGTCTCGCATCCTCCCAAGGAACGGGAGCGCACTGGGGTGTCTGTTGGCTTGCCAGAGCGAGCAGGGGCCTCGGTGGTGGTAGTTACGGCGGCCCCTGATGTCATGGAGATCGATAAGCAGTTGATCTGAGAAGCAATCGATAGGGTATGTAGTGAATAAGTGAGGGGGAAAGATGTCGAGCGAGGAGAGTTGCCTGGAGGATAACGGGGAAGGTGAGGCCGGAATGGCTTGCCATTTTAGTGTTGCGGGCAAGCGGGGTTGATGGAGTTGAAGCTAAGATTATCGCAATTATCGCGATGATCAGCCACTTGCTGATAGTCTCGATAAGGCGTGATAGCATCATCTGTCCAACCAGGCAGGTTAATTCCATGGTCATGATTTACCTCTCACCATTTATAACATCCCCCTTAAGATTCCGATAACAAGAGGTTGGCCCTTGACCCTTGTCCACATCTCCACCCCTACTCACTCATCATGCAAGACAAAGCCAACGTCCTGTTAATCGGCTGTGGTGGCATCGGCACTATTGCTGCGCTGAACTTGGAACTTGGAGGCAAAGCCATTGTCACTGCTGTTCTGCGTTCGAATTATGAGCATGTCAAAGCTCACGGCTTCTCCATCAAGTCGATCGACCACGGAGAGGTGAAAGGCTTCCGACCGTCAATCTGTATGTAGCCACTCATTTTCATATCAGCAGTTTCCTACTAACAGTTGCCCTGACAGTACGAAACACCATCCCAGACGTTGAGAAAGAGAATCTCCCCCCATACCGGTACATTGTCGTCACCACCAAAAACTACGCCGATGTGCCCCCGACCGTAGCAGAGATCATCCGCCCTGCCGTCACCAGGGGCTACACGCGCATCGCGCTCGTCCAGAATGGCCTGAACATAGAAAAGCCCCTTATTGCCGCTTTCCCAGAAAACATCATCCTCTCGGGCGTCAGCTTCTGTGGTTCCCATCAGGTCTCCTTGGGAGAGATCGTCCACGAAGACGATGACGAGCTTTACGTGGGAGCCTTCCGCAACCCCAATCTAACCCCCGACAAAGAGGATGCGGCCGCCAAAGAATATTGTGAGATTTATGGGGCAGGTGGCAAGTGCAATCCTCAGTTCAACCCCGACGTCGGGTTCAGTCGCTGGCGGAAGCTGCTGTACAATGCCTGCTTGAATCCCATTTGTGCCGTCACAGATCTAGATACCGGTCGCATCCAGCTGGCAGACGGCGCCATTGATAATTTGGTCCGACCAGCCATGGAGGAGATCCGCGCAGGTGCGAAGGCATGTGGGCATGACCTACCACCTGAGCTGGTGGACTTCATGATCACGATGGACCCCATCACCATGTACAATCCACCCAGCATGCAAGTGGATATCCGCAATGGCCGGTTCTGTGAGTATGAGAACATCGTGGGAGAGGCACTGAAGGAAGGAAAAGCCAGGGGTGTCCCCATGCCGACATTAACAGTGTTGTATGGCCTTCTCAAGGCCATCCAGTGGCGGACCAAGGAAAGGAAGGGGCTGGTGCAGATCCCGGAGCCGGAGGACCATACAGTTAAGAAGTGATAGATTAATGAAATATAATGACTATAAAAATCCCTTTAGCATAGCTGGCCTCCGCCTCGAATGCATATACAGGGGTTTTCAATGCCACTGCATATTGCGACAGCAAGAATCTGAGGATAATCGTGTCCAGATTCGCTAGTATGGAACTGTGGCTGTATGTTAGTAGCTCGATGTGGCTAGAGTATTGTCGTCTACAATGACACCCAGTGAATAACTTCAACCAGGAGGGTGAAGACAGTGCAGGATCTGGTGGGAGCGACCGAGCGGGAGAACCCGCAGATTACGTTAAAAACCAAAGCAGATGAAGGATTCGGGGGCCAAAGGATCCATTCTTCGTCAGACATTAATTTCCCGGACGATGGAGTTGAGTATACGAAGCATGATGGCCAATCAATGGACAAAATAGCCTGCAGAAATGTGGAAATACATTGTTGCGGTGTCCCTCGGCATCAAGCCAAGCGGGGAGAGGCTCGTCAGTTGCTATAAGTTCATCCATCAGGTATCGGCAATAGCCTAACTTGATTTCACGTCAAGCTGCTGTCTCGTGTTTTGAAGTATCAAGGAAAACCCCACCAGAAGCAGTGATTCAGCGACCATGGCTCCTAGCATACCAGTTCCTCGCAAACGGCTTCTGACCACCGAAATAGATGCCATCGCCGAGAGTAATCCTGAGAGGCGATTCTGTGTAATGCCCAGGGGCTCGGAGCTCTCAGATGGCTTGCAAGAAATTTCAGTTAAGGATCTCTCTCGCGGCATCAACTTTTTGTGCTGGTGGATAGAAGCGCAAGCTGGTACAGATGCACCTGTTGGGTCAACAGTAGCATACATGGGTGCCAATGATATTCGCTACTTTATTTTCATCGTGGCATGCCATAAGACAGGCTACAAGGTGGGATACTTCCGACTTCGTAGACGTTCCGCTTGTATACTGACCTTTCTCAATCAGCCATTGCTACTTTCGAGTAAGAACTCTGATGAAGCTCAACTGTACTTGCTACATGAGACTAAGTGTAACCGGTTCTTTTGCACTGCGGAGAGGGAGCGGAAGGTAGCAGAGCTTAAGCAACTCCGTCCCGAACTAAATATCATCGAATTACCCGCATTAGATGCCATCTTGGAGGGAGAAGAGGGTTCACGCTTCTACCCCTTTACTCAATCTTACGAGGAGACCGAGGATGAGGTCTTTCTCATAGTGCACAGTTCCGGATCAACAGGTATGGTCTCCCATCTCGAAATGGTGAATCTGGCTCAAGTAAACTCACTCCTCAGGAATGCCCAAACCTATTCC